GTCCTGGCGCATCGTTTTCCTCCCACCAGGCATCTCTCCTGGGTTCCCACCCCGAGCAAGCCTAACAGGGAAGATAAAAGTAAATGCTCTGCTAGCTGCTAATACAGATACAACACATTAAATGATACTTTAGGTTGGTTAAATGAGTAGCGAGCGGCAAAGGTGTGATCAAGTATCACTGACAAAAGTCATAAATCAGATACCAAACATTTGAAATGACTGCAGTTCATTTATTGATTCGTTCAACTAATATTTGATTGAGCACAGGCTGTACAGCAGCAAAAAATAAAAGTCTGCTCTTTGTGTTCTCCGGGAGCCTAAAATTTGTTCAGAGATGCTCCTACTACTGCAAAGAAAGCACTAGAATGAAATGAAGAAGCATGTAAAAAAAGAGCACCAATTTTTTTTTGAGTTCTAAGATCTAAATCCCAATTTCATGTCTGCCAGTTACTAGTGACTAAGTGACATTGCATGTGTCAACTCAAGTTCTCTGAGCCTCGACTTCATGAGGTCATCAAATACCTTGAAAAACGGTGTGTGACATTAACTGTCTGTTTATCTCCTCAGTTAATTGTAAGGATCACAAAGAAAATAAGCCAACATGCCTTGAAAATTGTTGAAGGTCTATGATCCTAGGCTGGCACTATTACTGAAATCTATGAAAAACCATCAAATTCCCTGGCAATAAATAATTTCCGTTAACGTAGACAGTATAAGGAGAATCCACGTGGACCGGCAGTAAAGCTCAATGCTAACTGTCAAGTACATTAACGACAGGGAATGACATGTATTCAAAGACTTTGGCCTTTCTCCACTTAACTAACCATTCTAATTTCACCTGGATTTCTTCCACATGTCAAAGTTTGCTCATCTTCTTAAGCAACATCTCAGCCACAGGGAGAAAAAATGAGTCAAACAGACGTCTACTGAACTTCCGATCTGAGCAAGAGCTGCCATATATTTCTTTACCCTTCGGGCAAAGTGTTTGTCAACTCTATTTGAATCTTTTTTT